GCCTGTTCTCAAGGACTCTTTGGGGGAATAAATAGATGAATGAATAGAGGTAGGTAAACAGAGGTAGTGGAATAAAGATGAAGATAGAATAAAGAATTGTATTCCATCTTTATGGCTCAGAGAGGCTGCTGAACCCCCTCCTATCCAGTGGGCAGGAACTGTACAGGGAGATATTAAAATGACATTGTCCATGCCCTCATAGAACTCTTTAGCTATTCACCCAGGTTCTAGAAGCTTCCAACAACCTGACTGTCCCTTGATAATACAAAACTCCATTTCCCTCTGGTCCTCTCCTCTCCCCTTAGTCTCACCCCTTCAGATCTCCATCCAAGGTGGGGAGGGAAGAATGGCTTCAATGTCTCACACCCTCGCATAAGTTAGGGTCACTCACAATGTGCTCAAACTCCTTGGCCTGCTTCAGCTCCCGGGAGAAGCCGTCGATGAGGAGGCCCTGGCTCTCCGGGTAAGACAGCATCTTGTCATTGATCATATCTAGGATGGTACCCCGAGAAGGAAAGGGGTGGGTGGATCAGTGCCTTCGCCTACCAGGTCACCTTGACAAGTTCTCTTCCTCAGTCTGGACCTTAGGTGAATTCGGGAAACGCTGTCCCACCCCATACCGGAGGTTTTGAATCTGCTCTGATGCCGAGGCTTCTGGAAGCACTCCTGAGAAATGGACACAGCGACTGCTGTCCACCATGTGCCAGGCTGGCTGGGTCTCATTTACAGATAGGTACTGGGGTGACCTTCATTTTACAGGTGAGGTAACAGGTGCAGAGAAGGGGCCAATGATATATGTGCCCAGGGAATAAGTGCTAATTTTATTGAATACTTCTTAAGTGTCAGGCACCGCACCAAACACTTTATAAGAATGATGTCCTCTAACCCTGGCCAGTGTGGTTCAGTTGGTTGAAGTGTTGTTTCACACACCGGAAGGTTTCAGGTTTGATCTCCGGTCATCAGGGCGCATGTGGGAGGTAACTGATTGCTGTTTCTCTCTGATAAATGTTTCTCGGCCTCTCTCTCTCTCTCTCTCTCTCTCTCTCTCTCTCTCTAAAATAAAATTAAATAAATAATGCCCGGCCGGCGTGGCTCAGTAGTTGAGCAGCGACCTATGAACCAGGAGGTCATGGGTTTGATTTCCGGTCAGGACACATGCCCAGGTTTCAGGCTCAATTCCCAGTATGGGGCATGTAGGAGGCAGCCAATCAATGCTCTCTCTCATCATTGATGTTTCTATCTCTCTCTCCCTCTCCCTTCCTTTCTGAAATAAATAAAAATATATTTAAATATATATTATATCTACACTAATAAAAGAGAAAAATGGTAATTGGCGTACGACCGCTACCCTTCCCATTGGCTAATCAGCGTATCCTTATGCAAATTAACTGTCAGCCAAGATGGCGGCCGGCAGCCAGGCAGTTGGAAGCGAACATGAGGCTTGCTTGCTGCAGTGACTGCAAACTCCAACGTTCCCCGCCTGACTTGCAGGCCTCTGAGCTGGCAGTTTGAAACATTCTAACAAATATAGCCGGCTGGGATCAGAGCTGAAGTTATACATTGTGTCGATTATAGAACGGCAAACAAACCAGCAGCGGAAGCCTCAGAGCTAGAGCCAGAGCTAAAGCTGGCCCAGAAGAAAAAAAAAAAAGAAAAAAAGGAGCGGTTGGGAGCTTCTGTCAATCGCCAGCCTGAAAGCAGCCCTCAGCCCCTCACCCAGACTGGCCAGGCACCCCAGTGAGGACCCCCACCCTGAAGGGTGTGTGACCAGCTGCAAACAGCCATCATCCCCTCATCCAGGCTGGCCAGGCACCCCAGTGGGGACCCCCATCCTGATCCAGGACACCCTTCAGGGCAAACCAGCCAGCCCCCAGGCCTCTATCCTATATGGTAAAAGGGTAATATGCCTCCCAGCACCAGGATCAGCGGAGCCGCGAGGCCTCCTGGCACCAGATCAGCATGACAGGGGGCAGCGCCCAAACCCCCTGATCACCCTGCGGCTCTGTGTGTACAGGGTGTGGTGTCCCAACGCCCCCCCCCCCCACGGGCCCTGGTCTTTGTGTGAAGGGGTAGAGCCATAACCTCCCCATCGGCCCTGCCCTGAGTGTGAAAGTGGGGGCGCCCCCAACCCCCTGATCGGCCCTGGTTCTGTGGGTGATAGAGGGCGGGTGCCCCAACCCCCCTGATCTGCCCTTGTGGGGGTGTGGAAGGGGGAGGGTGCCCTTAACTTCCCTATAGACCCTATCTCTGTGCGTGACAGTGTGACGAGGGGAAGTCCCCCAACCCCTGATGGGCCCTGCTTCTGTACGTGACGGAGGGGGGGGGGAGGAGGCAGTGCCCCAACCCCCTGATTGGCCCTGCTCTGTGAGTGACAGGGGGCAGCGCCCCAACCCCCTGATTGGCCCTGCTCTGTGCATCACAGGGGGTGGCGCCGCAACCTCCCCATTGACCCTGCCTTGAGTGTGATAGGGGGTGGTGCCCCAACCCCCCAATCGGCCCTACCCTGAGCGTGACTGAGGGTGGCATCGCAACCTCCCAATCCGCCCTGCTCTGTGCATGACAGGGGGCGGCGCCCCAACTCCCCAATCAGCCCTGCTCTGAGCCCGACCAGGGGCTGCACCTAGGGATTGGGCCTGCCCTCTGCCACCCAGGAGCAGGCCTAAGCCAGCAGGTCGTTATCTCCTGAGGGGTCCCAGACTGCGAGAGGGCACAGGCCGGGCTGAGGGACCCCCCCCTTCCCCCCGGAGTGCACAAATTTTTGTGCACCGGGCCTCTAGTATATATATAAAACAATAAATCATGTCCTTGGGTGAGGATTAAAAAAAAAATAATGGTGACATCTATCCCTCACCACACTCTTGCTGAAGGTTCAGCTGCTCTCCCATTTTACAGATGAGGACACAGAGGCTCAGGGCAACAAAACAGTGCTGAGGTGGGGAGCTTCCACAGGGCCTTTTCCAGAAGTTTGTCCCAATGTATCCTCTTCTTCCCTTTACCCCTGCACACATGAACTCTCACCCTGGGCACTAGGCGCCCCTGCAGCATGATGTCACAAATCTCCCATACTTGCTAGGTGCCGCCTTGGGTCTTCTGCCACAGTAGCTGGTCCAGCCCCACGTGGCAGAACCCATAATTAGTGGCCACGTTCTTTTTAAGAAATGTTTTTATTGATTTTTAAGGAGAAAGGGAGAGAGATAGAAACATTGATGAGAGAAACATTGGTGGCTGCCTCCTGCATGCCCCTAATGGGGATCGAGCCCATAATCCTGGCATGTGGGGCATGATGGAGAACTGAACCAGTGACCTCTTGATTCATGAGTCAACTCTTAACCACTGAGCCACACTGGCTGGGCGGTCACCATGTTCTTGCACTGCGTCCCTTTGTCACAGCCTGGGCCACCCATCACAAAGATGGGGAGACCTAAGGATGTTTGTGGTGCCCAGAAAGACAGAGGGAGAGTAGTTGGTGCCTGTAGAGCTATATCCACAGCTCAGTGCATGTCCTTGGGGTGATACCAGACACAGGTCTGGTGGCAAACCCACTTTTGTCCTAGGGTGACACCTGGGTATTCAGGCCTGGTGGTGTATCCAGGCCTAGCATACATTGCTGCTGTGGATTCTGTGGATAAGGATGTGAACCAGAGCAGGTTAGGCCCTTTGCATGAAGCATCTCCTTGAAGCATCATAATAACTCTATCCCATTTACAGTTGAGGAAATTGTGGCTCAGATAGGGGGAAGGGACTTGTCCATCCCCCAGACTCATCCCATATCACCCTCCCCTTCCTTCACTCTGGTCCAGCCCCAGTAGCCTACTGGTCTCCTTTCTGTCCCTTAAACTGCCAAGCTCATTCCTCCCATGCCTGTTCCCTCCATCTGGGAAATCCCTGCCTCAGCGCTTTCAGGTCGAAACCCACTCATCCCTGTGTTGGAACGCAATTTCCTCCACAGCAATGATCAGTGATGACTTTTTCTTTTTCTTTTTTTTTTTTTGCCTCCCAGCCAGTGTACTCCATGAGGGCAAGGACCGTATCTGTCTCACTTGTCCCTATATTTCTAGTAGTTTACAGTTGCTGACATAACAGCAGTGAGCGAGGAGCCTATGGGTTGTTGTACATTATGGTGCAATTTGAGTGTCCTGCTTCCCTCTGCCTTTGCTTAGCCAACTCCTGAGCAACCCGAAGGGCCCAGCTTAAACCTCCCCTCTTCTCTAAGCCTCCAGAGCCAGCTCTGCTTTTTCTGTGACATCTCCTGAGTTGTAGGCACCGTTTTCTAAGACGGTCTCCTCGACTACACTGTAATCTCCAAGAGGACAGGAAGCTGGTTTGACACAGTCACGGTGGACCGCCCTGAACCCAGCACAGCAGATGCTCAAGTGGATTAACGAATGGCTGATCTGTGAGCATGCTCAGTTGTGTTACTACTATGTTGTGTGCGAGGAGCGTGTGCACACCTGGTCAAGTGTGGTGGGGTTCCTGTACCTCCCTCCTGCCCTCCATAGCCTCCTTCCCTTCCCCCAGTAAGCCTGCCACCCCCACGATGTTACCGTTCTCCTGGGGCCTCAGGGGTCTGCCCATGGGGGCAGCTTGGACTTGCACAGACCCATCCTGCCAGCGGCCTAAGGGGTTATCGCGCCCCATCCCCGCTTTGACCCTGACCTCTTCCGGCTCTGCTCAACGTCACAAGGGCACCTGGCCCAATCATTTAGCAAGATGATGGTGTGTCCCCCGGGGCAGGGAGAAGAAATAAACTCCAAAGAGGTAGTGGTGCTGCGGCTGCGTGGCGCGACTGAGGCCTCGGTTGCTATGGTGACGCGGCCTCCTGGAACTCACTTCCGTAGTGGGGCGGGGCAGCCCTAGGCTTGGAGAGTCTGTGAGGGTGGATGGTTTCTCCTTCCCCTCCCAGAATGCCCCGCTGCCTTTTGCGTGCTGACGTCACGGGAGGGCGTGCTCACGCCGTGAGCAGATTAACCGCGCTATATAAATATATAAAGCGATCAGCAGCTGCAGGAGCTCCAGAAGGCAGTTACCTCTGGCCCGGATTGGTTCACTGCTCCGAAAGGCACCAGGAGGCTAGGTGACAGCTCACTGAGGTCCCGGGGCAAACGAGGAGGCTGCGGTCCGCGGTCCGCAGGAGAGTTTCTCAGGTTAGGCGCAGGCGCAGATGTGTTAGGAGCGGCCACTGAGGCGGACGACCCAGCAGCGCTTCCGGGTAGTTCGGTGGCGCCTCGGACTTGGGGTCCTCGACCTGGGCCAAAGACCCGATCCCGCGAAGGCGGCTTTCCCCGGTGTGAGAGTCGCGGACCGCAGGAGAGGCAAAAAGAATACGGATTGGACCAGACCCGAACCACCGACCCTTGCCCATGGCGGCCTTCGTAAGTATGAGGCGGGGTCCAGGGGTTCCGACGGCCTCAGCAATCAGTCCCTCACTCACCGTCCCTCTTTCTCTCCGCGCAGGGTCCTGGCAGCCAGAATGTCACTGAGTATGTCGTTCGAGTTCCCAAGTAAGTCTCAAACCCCACCCCCCCACCCGCCAAACAATCAGAACCTTTAAGAGCCTCTAGGCATGCCAGGCGCTGCCTTGCCTATGATTCATCCTCCAGACTGGCAGCGTCTTGAGGGCAGGGCTGGGATTGAGCGAGGACTCCTTGGGGTAGCACTGTTTTTGAATGGAATGAATGAATGAGTACATTCATATGCAAGCGATGCAGCCCCTGGCCTAACATTCCCTCTGCCAGGAATGCCTTTTCCCCAGCTGTGACTGCTGGTGGGTTCTTGTTGATCCCCAAAACCAGTTCCAGTATTTTCCTCCTCCAGGAAGCATTCTCTGCTTGCCCTCCCTCCTGCCTAGGGCTGAGTTCCCGATTATTCATCTTGGTTCCCCTAAATCTTTGTACCTTTTTCTGCATGGGTTGAGAGTACGGATCTGGCTTCCCTGACAGACTTGGGACCTCTGGGGTGTTTTAAGGGTCCTCAGCATTGCCTGTCACAGAGGGCTGAACCCGGGAGGGTTTGTTGAATGGATTGAGCACTATCTCTTCTTGATCATTCCAGAAATACAACCAAAAAATATAACATCATGGCCTTCAATGCAGCTGATAAAGTCAACTTCGCTACTTGGAATCAGGTAAGTCTGCGTTCTGAGGGGAATGAGGATTGATTGTGAATGTCGTGGCTGTGATAGTAACCAAGTGTGTTCCCTCGGTGCTTCCCAGTGGAGATAAGTGACAACTAAGGTCCAGGTTGAGCAGCTGGGCTCTGAGTAAAACTTGTCAGGCCCTGCAGGAGGCCTTCTGAAAGGAGAACATTTAGACATTGTGCCCACTGATGGGCATTTTGGGCCTAGATTTTTCTGGGCAAGAGAGGAGGCTACATCCTACAGATGGTCTCAGAGTCCCCACCGTAAGGGCTTTGGAGTTGTCTCAGTCCGTTGGGGCTGCTCTAACAGAGCATCATATAAACAACAGCCATTTATTGCTCACTGCTCAGGAGGCTGAAAGTCCAAGATTAAGGCACCAGCAGATTTGGTGTCTGGAAAGGCCCGCTTTCTAGTTCATAGACAGCACTGTTCTCGCTGTGTCCTCTAGGAAGGGGCAAGGGAACTCTGTGGGACCCTTTGGTATAAGGGCTCCACCCTCATGACAAAATCACCTCCCAAGATACCATCCACAGGTGTTAGGTTTCAACATAGGCATTTTGGGACGGAGATACAAACATTCAGTCTATAGCAGAAGCCATTCAGGGTTTTAAATGGGGGTTTTGTAAAGTGATCTGGCTGCTGTAGGGTGGAGGGCAGATGAAGCAGGGTAGAGGTGACAGCTGTGGTCCTGGGGAGCAATAATGGGCTTTGGAGCAAACAGGTTATGAGAAATGATTTAACTATAGTGGGTTTTGGAGGTGGAGCTGACAGGGTTTATTGATGGATTGGATATTGAGGGGTGAGGGCCAGGGCACAATTATAAACGTACATTTTAAAATAATACCTACTGTTAAATTGTCCAGAGATTAAAATTTGGAAAACCTCAGCCTTTAATGGCTTCTGAATTCACGGGGCAGTCCAGAGTCGAATGCAGAGAGGAAGGCCAATTCTAAGCAGGTTGTTTTCTTTCTTTTCTATATATTTTTATTAATTTCAGAGAGGAAGGAAGAGGGAGAGAGATAAAAACATCAATGATGCCAGAGAATCATTGATTGGCTGCCTCCTGCGTGCCCCCTACTGGGGATTGAGCCTGCAACCCAGGCATGTGCCCTGACTGTAAGTCAGAACCGTGACCTCTAGGTTCATAGGTCGATGCTCAAACACAGCCACGCCAGCCAGGCAAGCAGGTTGTTTTCATTGTTTGTTAATCTTCACCTGAGGATATTTCTTTTCTTTTTTATTTTTTTAAAATATATTTTATTGATTTTTTACAGAGAGGAAGGGAGAGGGATAGAGAGTTAGAAACATCGATGAGAGAGAAACATCAACCAGCTGCCTCCTGCACACCCCCTACTGGGGATGTGCACGCAACCTAGGAACATGCCCTTGACCGGAATCGAACCTGGGACCCTTGAGTCTGCAGGCCGACGCTCTATCCACTGAGCCAAACCGGTTAGGGCTCCATTGATTTTTTTTTAGGGAGAGGGAAAGACAGAGAGAAACAAGTGAGAGAAACACATCAATTAGTTGCCTCCTGCATGAGCCCTGACCAGGGCCCGGGCCAGGAAGGAGCCTGCAACCAAAGCATGTGCCCTTGACTGGAATTGAATCAGGGGCCCTTTGGTCTACAGACCGACGCTCTATCCACTGAGCCAAATTGGCTAAGGGCTTATTGTTTTTGTTTGACATTACTGTGGGGGTTTTTTTGCTGTTTTTTTTTTTTTTTCATTTTCATTTAGAAATAATTTCAAACTTTCAAAAAGCTGCACAAATAGACATAGTACAAAGCTTGCCCATATCCCTTCACTCACATTCACTGAGCACTGACTTTCTACTTTTTTTTGCCAAGCAAGAAGTTGGAGTGTCTGTAGCTCAGCTTGGAGAGAATAAAGGGTATTCTTAGGGGTAGGGGCACAGCCCGAGCAAAGGCAGGTGCCCTGAAGAGAGATCTTATTTCCTGCTTCCCCCACCATGTTCCCCCAGGCCCGGCTAGAGAGAGATCTGAGCAACAAGAAGATTTACCAAGAGGAGGAGATGCCTGAGTCAGGTGCAGGCAGTGAGTTTAACCGCAAGCTTCGGGAGGAGGCTCGGAGGAAGAAGTACGGCATCGTCCTCAAGGAGTTCCGGCCTGAGGACCAGCCCTGGCTGCTCCGAGTCAATGGCAAGTCGGGCAGGAAGTAAGTGGTGATGGCAGCAGGTGCCCACCCTCCTCTTCCCTCATGCCCTCACTTTGTGGGGTGCTCTCTCAGAACTTGTATGCCCCATATGCACAGAGCAGGTGACAGCATGTCCTCCGTCATGGGGTCTCATTTTATTTATTTATTTATTCATTCTGTTTTTTAATATATATATATATAATTATTAGTATTACAGATGTCTCCCATTTTACCCTCCTTTACCCACCCTCCCAGGTCTTCACCACCCTATTGCCCACGTCCATGGGCTCTGCATATAAGTTCTTTGGTTTATCTCTTTTATAGGGTTTTATTTTTAAAGGTAAATCAAGTTGGTGCGTGTATAGGAGTTCCAAGGGCACCTGCCCTGTTCATGTACATCCAGGGGCCACCTTGAAGGTGGGCAGCAGGGAAGGGGCACTCTAACGTTGCCTGGACTTCTGTGTGGGAAGAGTGTGAGGGCAGAAGCCAGGAGGAGGCTCGCAGTGGTTCAGGCCCAAGGGGCAGCCTGGAGGCAGATCAGAGGGGTCTGACTGCAGGGCCTGTGCTCTTCAGGTTATCTAACATGTTCCTTCCATGAAAGGACCATGATATGTAAAATGGGGGAAGCCCTCAGCCCACTCTGCAGGGTGAGGAGCACTGGCCCTGCTTCCCAGATTTGGAAATCAGGGCTCAGACAGTTCAAGAGCTAGCCCAAAGCTTCCCAGCCTCTGATTGCTCGGAGAAACCAGGTGGTTCAGTAGAAGGGACAGGCCCAGGGGCATGGTGGGCCAGGGCGGGTCTCTCTGGGCACAGGCTGTGACCATGACCATGGTTCTTTGCAGGTTCAAGGGTATAAAGAAGGGAGGTGTGACAGAGAACACGTCCTACTATATCTTCACCCAGTGCCCTGACGGGGCTTTTGAAGCGTTCCCAGTGCACAACTGGTACAACTTCACGCCGCTGGCCCGGCACCGTACGCTCACTGCTGAGGAAGCCGAGGAGGAGTGGGAGAGGTGAGTAAGCCTGGGCAGGGCTGGGAGGGAAGCAGGATGTAGACAGTGTCGTCTCTCAGCTTCACCAGTGTAGAGCCAAAATAATTGGAAATAAGGTAGGTCACCATAACTTTATGCCCCGCTGGGAGCTGGGGACTCAGTGATGACCAAGCCAGACCCCACCAGGCCCTCAGGGAGCCCTCAGTCCAGTGGGGAGACATAAACCAAACCATCAAGGATGTATAGGGTCCTGTGAGAGCTAAGGAGTTGGTGACCGAAAGCAGGGCAGGGTGTCCCTGGATGCCTTGAGTTTTCCCAGGCAGGAGATCTAGGCTGGATCAACTGCAGATATTTGTTGCCTGAGATTGGTCTTGTTATGGCCTTTGTTTTGAAATCTGTTTTGTCTGATGTAAATATTGCTACCCCAGCTTTTTCATTTCTGTTTGCATGAATCCCTTTACTTTAAAATATATATATATTTTATAAAATAAATATATAAATAAATATATAAAATAAGTAAATATATATATGTGTGTGTGTGTGTGTGTGTGTGTGTGTGTGTATATACATATATATATTTCAGAGAAGAAGGGAGAGGGAAAGAAAGATAGAAATATCAATGATGAGAGAGAATCATTGATAGGCTGCCTCCTGCACGCCCCCCACTGGAGACTGAGTCTGAAACCCGGGCATGTGGGCTGACTGAGAATTGAACCTTGACCTCCTAGTTCATAGGTTGACTTTCAGCCACTGAGCCATGCTGGCTGGGCGTCTTTGTTATTTTAATTTTGATGTGTCTTCTTGTGGACCTGAAATTGGTCTTGAGCTGAGAGAGGTGCTGGGATGCCAACACCACACCAACACCTTCTCCTTGAGAGCTCAGGGTAGAGGGAACTGAAAAAGGGTCAGCTCTCCCCGTGTGCTTTTAGGGTGTCCATGTTATGTGCGAGTCCCCTGGGGTCAGATCATGCCTCTTAGCACCTAACTCATGTCTGTGGTTCCCTTCTGGGGAATATCCAGTGATGTGCAGGGAGGAGGCCTGGTTCCTGGAGGGGGCCCTGGAGCCAGGCCTGTTATCAGACCCCAGTGTACCCCTTACCTCCGCCTGCAGAAGGAACAAAGTCCTGAACCACTTCAGCATCATGCAGCAGCGGCGGCTCAAAGACCAGGACCAGGACGAGGAGGATGAGGAGAAGGATAAGCGTGGCCGCAAAAAGCCCAGTGAGCTGCGCATCCATGACCTGGAAGACGACCTGGAGATGTCATCTGATGACAGCGAGGCCAGCGGCGAGGAGGGTGAGCCTGGGCAGAGCCTGCCCTGGTGGCTGGGGTACAGCTGCCTAAGTCGCGCTTAAGTCTTACTTTATAAAGGTAGTTGAGTGACAACACAGAGTGATTAATGCCATTGAAAAAAACAGTTTACAGTTTCCTGGGAGATGAGAGGCAGGCACAACATGCCATGCAGGGCCACTTGCGGAAGCACCAGAATGAGTTGGAGGCGGAAATGAGTGATGGGCCCTGGCCGGTGTGGTTCAGTTGGTTGAGCATCATCCCATGCACTGAAAGGTCTCCAGTTCAATTCTCAGTCAGGGCACATGCCCAAGTTGCAGGCTTGATCTGTGGTTGGGGTGCATGCTGATTGATGTTTCTCACATCAGTGTTTCCCCTCCCTCTTTTCCTTCCTTTCTCTTAAAAAAAAATAAATCAATAAAAACATTTTTAAAAAGATATGGTGGGACCCACCAGTTTGAATCATTCCAGGGGCTCTGTGCTCCAAGAGTGATTCAGTGCAGAAGACAGTGGCCCTCAGTGTGAGATTGGAGAAAGGCTGTGGCCAGGGGGTAGAGAGCCCAGATTGGTTTGGTTTGCACGTGAGAGGTGTTGCCCCTAGGCAAGCCCTTTGCTTTCTCTAAGAATTGGCCAGCTCCCCCTTTGTCAAGGCCTGAGATGTCCCAGTGTCCTTGAATATACAAACCCCGATGAGTGCTCAGCCCCCCTCCACTTCCCCAGGTGTCAAAGCCCCCAAGGCCAAGAAGAAGGCACCGATGACTAAGGCAGGCCGGAAGAAGAAGAAGAAGAAGGGGTCAGATGATGAGGCCTTTGAGGACAGTGACGATGGGGACTTTGAGGGCCAGGAGGTGGACTACATGTCTGATGGCTCCAGGTGAGGCAGGCGGGAGGCAGGTGTGGGACCCTGGCACAGCCTGGAGGAAGAGCTCATTCACCCTCTGCTCACACTCTGTGTTGCAGCAGCTCTGAGGAAGAGCCGGAGGGCAAGCCCAAGGTCACCCAGCAGGAGGAGGGTCCCAAGGGCGTGGATGAGCAGAGCGAAAGCAGTGAGGAGAGTGAGGAGGAGAAGCCTCCTGAGGAGGACAAGGAGGAGGAGGAGGAGAAGAAGGCACCCACCCCACAAGAGAAGAAGCGGAAGAAAGGTGGGCTTGGCTTTCCAGGCTTCTGTCCCCTCTGCCCTTTACTAGATCCCCTTATCTGAGATAGAGCTGAGGGTGGGTGTGGGTGCCTCTGATCCTGACAGCTCTTCTTTGTCCCCATACAGACAGCAGTGATGAGTCTGACAGCTCGGAAGAGAGTGACATTGACAGTGAGGCCTCCTCAGCTCTCTTCATGGCTGTAAGGCCCAGCCAGGGTTGGGAGGAGGGATGTCGGCCCTGCTGTCTGTTTCCAGACTCACGTCCCCAACCCTAAAATTTGCAGAAAAAGAAGACTCCCCCCAAGAGAGAGCGGAAGCCATCAGGGGGCAGCTCAAGGGGCAATAGCCGGCCAGGCACACCCAGCACAGAGAGTGGCAACACCTCCTCCACCCTTCGGGCAGCTGCCAGCAAACTGGAGCAAGGTGGGTGGCCTTCCCGACCCACTGCAACCTCCTGACCTTTGTTCTTGTGTGCACTGAGCATCAGGATCTGAGGCCAGATCAAGGGGCTGACACCTATCTGCCCCTGATCTCCTTGTATCCATAATCTAGGCACCACCCGGCCTGGGGTCTCCCAACATGTCCAGTGTCACATTTCTAATACTCAGCCCTGCCTCTGCTCTCACAGGAAAGCGGACAAATGAGGCGACAGCAGCTAAGCGGTTGCGGCTGGACAGTGGACCCCAGAGCCTGTCTGGGAAGTCGACCCCTCAGCCCCAATCTGGGAAGTCAACCCCCAGCAGTGGGTAAGTTGGTGAGGACAGCAGGGGCAGGAGGGGACCACTGGGAAGGAGGGCCACCCACTAACCTCCCCACTCTCCACTGCGCTCCAGTGACGTGCAGGTGACTGAGGACGCTGTGCGCCGCTACCTGACACGGAAGCCCATGACCACGAAAGACCTGCTGAAAAAGTTCCAGACCAAGAAGACGGGGCTGAGCAGCGAGCAGACAGTGAACGTACTTGCCCAGATCCTCAAACGCCTAAACCCTGAGCGCAAGATGATTAACGACAAGATGCACTTCTCCCTCAAGGAGTGAGGGGCTGGCCCCCACCCTTTTGCCCAATAAATAAGCTCGTCTCCAGAAGTTCATGGGCTCTTGAATTCCACATACTCATTGCTGTGGGTCCAACTGTCCACTTGTCACCCTGCTCCCTGAATCCCAGGACCCAGCATTAATAAGTTGGAAAAACCTAAGCAGCATTCTTCTCAATTTACTTCTCTTATTCTCCCCCACTCCTCCTTGTAGAGCAGCCGTGGGCAAACTACGGCCCGTGGGCCGGATCCGGATCCGCCCGTTTGAAATGAATAAAACTAAAAAAAAAAAAAGACCGTACCCTTTTATGTAATGATGTTTACTTTGAATTTATATTAGTTCACACAAACACTCAATCCATGCTTTTGTTCTGGCCCTCCGGTCCAGTTTAAGAACCCATTGTGGCCCTTGAGTCAAAAAGTTTGCCCACCCCTGTTCTAGAGCCTTGAGATGTCTCTCAGAACTTATTTTGCACGTGGGGTGATTTCTTCAGGTCTGTCTTCCACTTTGCCAGTTCTCTCTTCAGCTGTTTCTTTTTCAGATCAGCTGGTCTGTGTGTTTTGTTTTTTAAATTTTATTGATTTCAGAGAGGAAGGGAGAGGGAGAGAAACAAAATGATGAGAATCATTGATTGGCTGCCTCCTGCATGCCCCCTACTGGGGATCAAACCAGCAATCCGGGCATGTGCCCTTGACTGGGACTCTTCAGTCTGCAGGCTAACACTCTACCCACTGAGCCAAACTGTCTAGGGCTAGTTTAAAATGTTTTTATTGATTTTAGAGGAGAAACATCTATCAGAAAAATATTGATTGGTTGCCTCTTGTACACACCCCAGTGGAGGACCAATACTGCAACCTGGATGTGTGCTCTGACTGCTATCAAACTGGCAATCCCCTGGTGCACAGGATGATGCTCAACCAACTGAGCCACACCAGCCAGGGCAGCTGGTCTGTTTTGAGTGTTTGGTCCTTAATGTGTGTGTGTGTTTAAAATATATTTTTATTGATTTCAGGGAGAGAGAGAAACATCAATGAGGAGGATCATTGATTGGCTGCCTCCTACACACCCCACACGGGATCAAGCCCGCAACCCAGGCATGTGTCCTGACTGGGAATCGAACTGTGACCTCCTGGTTCATAGGTCGATGCTCAACCACTGAGCCACGCAGGCTAGACTGTCCTAAATGTTTTCATCCCTTTCACATTTTTATTTTAAGCATCTTGTCTTATAGTTTTCATCAGACACATCAGCACCTGAAGCTCACAGGCCTCCTGTTCTATCTTCTGACTGGTCTTCATGACTGTAATCTTGAATAGGGGAACTGGTGGCCAGCTTGGGGCTCTGTGGGACTCCTGGATGGTCTACAGGCCGGTCCTTGTAAATGGGTTTTGCCTTTGCTCCCACCAGGTGCCCCACGAGTCCCAGCCTGGGCCCATTTGGGATGGTTCTCAGCTCAGGGCTTTGTCCCTACATGGCAGCAAAAACCCAAACCCCTTTTATTGCTGATGTTGGCACCTTTTTCAGCTCTCCAGTGATGTTTCTGGGGCTTCCCTTTCTTACAAGTTGGTTATGTATTTTTTCCAGCATTGCTAGATGTTCTGTAGTGGGAGGACTGTTTAATTTCATGGACAATAATGCTGCTGGAAATGAAATTTGGCAGCAGGCGCTACTTTTGAACCCCTATCCCAAGTGATCCAGATTTCTATCTTGCCCTCGGCTGGAAACTGCAGGTGGAAAACTTCCCCACCCAGTTCCACAGGACCTTGGCTGTCGACTGGGAATGCCTGAGATGTCAGGCTAATTCCTAGGAATGTCCCAGGTCGGTCCAACCTCCCTCCCCATACTTCCGCCAGGCCTTTTTGGGGCAGCAGGAAAGATGCTCTCACCCTTTGCCCTGGGATTTTTACCCCTATACTCAGCCATGTGGATGTGACCTACCAGTAAAGCCATATGCCTCAGTGGTTAGGAGCAGGGACTGTGTGTTCAACAGGACCTGGGTTCAAATTCTGCCTGCGTTTAATTCTGGGTGACTCTGGACTACTTCTGAAAGTAGTCTCAATAGGTACTGCAATAAGAGCAACCACACCAGCCCTAACCGGTTTGGATCAGTGGATAGAGCTTTGGCCTGCGGACTAAAGGGTCCCAGGTTTGATTCTGGTCAAAGGCATGTACCTTGGTTGCGGGCACATCCCCTACGATGTTTCTAACTCTATCCCTTTCCCTTCCTCTCTGTAAATAAAATCAATAAAATGTATTTTTTAAAAAAGAACAACCATACCAAATTAGTGAAGCAATCCCCTGTATGTAGATTTCCGGTCATTTCTGATCTTTTGCTGATAGAAAGCAGCGGATAGTCCTGAGTTTGTGTCTGCTCACCTGCTAAGCATAAATTCCTGAAACAGTTTCGGGGTCAAAGGGATGGGATTTGCAGTTTCAGTATCAACTGTTCAACTGCTACCAACTTACACTCCCACCCACAGTGTGCGGATGCACCTATGTCATGCGTGCACTCCAGCCATGTGAAAGCAAACTCTGATTTTTGCCAATCTTGGGTTCCGAGTCGAGTTTTAACTCAATCTCACCTGTGTGAGGTCGAGCACCTCTTCAAACATGCAAAAGCTATTTGAATTTCCTTTGCCTCAAAAGCTCTCCCAAGCTCCTCAGTGCCAAACACCATGTTAATCACCGTCCTCAGAACCTCATGTGGGAGGGACTGATTAGCCTCCTTTCAGAGGTAAGGGACAGTCTCACTTCCCAGGGGCCACAGGGGCAGGGTATGGAAGTCACTGTGACTTGCAACTGCCTCCAAGACCCAGAGGGAGCCAACCTCCCTTCTTGCTGATGCTCTGGACACCAGGACCGGCTGAGTCCCAGGGTCCTCTGGTGGGCCTTCTAGAGGCAGGAGTCCCTGCAGGGTGAGCTTCCGGCCCCTTGTGTCCCAACTCTTGGCTGTCCTGGAGTCTTTCCTTTTTCCTGTTTTGACACTGGCTCAGCCAGGCCCAGACACAGGAGCATGATGTCTTAATCCTCTAGGCTGGAGCCATGATGGATGAGTCCCCATTAGCTAATTCACCTGCCAAACCACCTCTTCCCTGCTCCCGCTCCCACCCACCCAACATATCTATTCCACCTGGTGCCCAACACAGGGGCTCCTGAGCCTCAGCACCCTGCTTGAATGGGAAGGGGCCCCAATGGGGGACCCACAGAACATACCCCCCCCACCTCTCCTTCCACATGGCAGGTGGGACAGTGGGGCAGGGACCCTGGTTGCTCACCCTGGGCTGGGCCCTGGCTGCCGCTTCAACTCTTAAATCAAGGTGTGGAGAGCGTGTCAGAAATAGATCTATGGAATGTCTGGATGAGGGGTTGAGCCCTTAACTCTTAGAAGGAAAGAATGTGGGACAGAGGGAGTTGGCCTGCCTGGGTCTGAGGATGTGGGAGACAAGCTGGTGGGGGACATGGGGCCTTCGTGCCCATACAGCATCCGGCAGTGAAGAGGTTATTCCCAGCCCGGATGGGGATAAATTGAGGGCGCAGGACCTCTCCGTCCTCAGGACCTGCTCGTCACAATGGCCATAGGAAGAGTCCTGCTCGGCTCTCTGCTGCTCCTATCCCTGCAGCTGGGCCTCGGCGGGAACCCGAGTCCTCCAGGGGCTCCAGTGGTGGAGGGAACACCCTCGTCCGAGCCAGCCACAGACACAGGGACCTGGAAGGCACAGCTGGGTAAGGATCCCCAGCACCCCGTGTGACTCCCCAACTCCTTCCTGGCCAACCCCTGACCACTGTCAACTGCCCCTTGTTCCCACCCAGGTGCCCGCCTGCGCCGAGCCCCGGCTGGCCCATGCCAGCTGCGGAGCTTGGCCCTGCCAGTGGTGGAGCTGGGCCTGGGCTATGCTTCGGAGGAGACGATCATCTTCCGCTACTGCGCTGGCAGTTGTCCCCGAGGTGCCCGCACCCAGCACAGCCTGACGCTGGCCTGGCTGCGGAGCCAGGGCCGAGCACATGGAAGCCCCTGCTGCCAGCCCACCCGCTATGCTGACGTGGCCTTCCTGGATGATCACCACCACTGGCAGTGGCTGCCCCAGCTCTCAGCGGCTGCCTGCGGCTGCAGTGGCTGAGGGTGCCCAGACGGGGCCCTGCAGGCACTCCAGAGGTCTGATGACTTATTTATTGGAGACCTGGATGCCCAGATGATGAGAAGATGGGGTGGGCTGGAGATGCCAGCAAGGGACACAATAAAGGAAATTGATCCTGGGGTCTTGTGATTCTGTGTTCAGTGGGGTGCTCCTGACCTTGTCATCTTAGCTCCTGGTTGGTGGGCAGGTAGGGTCTGGGCTTCCCTTGCAGATCCCAGCCCCAGCAAACAGCCAGTGCAAGGAAGGCCACCTTGTCCATTTCCTAGCTTTATTCACAAACAGTGTCCCTGAGAAGCTGGGCAAAGGGCCTGGGGGTTAGCAGGCTGGGGGTGGCTGCCCAGGCTCCTCTGGTCCTACCCCCTCAGGGAGGGAGCGGCAGATCACGGAGATGCGTCGGCCTCGGGGAACCCGAAGTTTCCCAAAAAAGGACTCTTCATCCCGAAGGATCTCATGGGAGAAGTCATAACGGGCAGAGTCTCTGAAAGAGAAAACAGAGGCTGTGACTGGGTAGGGTGAGGGCACCCCTGTTCCAGGCTAAGCGTCTGCTGTGTAGTGGATGGTAGTTTTTTGTGAGGGCTGAGTGAGAGACGGTGCTTGAAGTGCTGGGTAGCGTCTGACCAGTGATTAGTAGGGTGGTGGCTTCTTGGCGGGCAGTACCTAAGGATGTACAGTGAGCATGGCTCCAGCAAGAGTTCTAGCCACTCCCCAGGCTCCTGGGTGTGTACCAGCCGCATGACACTGGGAGACAGCAGGGACAGGCCAGCGATGGTGGTTCCGCAGAACTGGAAGAGGGAGCAGGGTGGTGGGTCAGGCTCTGGCCAGGCTGGCCCAACCCCAGCTGGGAGCTTCAAGCTGCTGGCTTCTGCCCACCTTGATGCTGTCAACGTGTGGCTTGATGTAGCCCCGAGGTTCTAGGTCCAGCACGTGCACTGAGGACAGCAGGGTCTGGTCTGGGCCAAAGGCGGCTGCCTGAACACGCTGCAGGATGGCCCGGCTTGCCTCTGACCAGCGAGACTTTTCTGTCTCTCGGAAGCCATGGATGGCCTGCAGAGAGAGCTCGGGTCAAGCCTGGAAACTCCGGGGGGTATGCGGGTGGGGGACACGGCGCTCTGGGG